GGCTATATTATTTCAACCTTTTTTTCCTTGGAGCAACAGACAGTAGATACCTGGTTAAAATCTACTCCAAACAATTTTATTTTTCCGCCCATTGGAATTTATTATAGTAATTAATAAAAGGAATATATGTATTGCCTGTACAAACCTATTTCAAATTTTATTCCCAGGTTATTCTCTAGAGTAACTGTTAAGGTTGTTCCACTCGATACAAAGTATAGATTAAACACTACAATTACGTGTCAAATTAAATGTTATGAAATTTAAAACAAAAGTTTTGAATAAATTTTCAACATATGTTTTGAAATAAAAACAAAACAGGAGTTTTCTAACTAATCTTGCATCGTTGATTATTTAGTCAACGGGGCTATTTCATGTTAAACATTCCTTCAGCACAACAATAACCTACAAATGTGAAGAAATGTAATCAAAGTAAAATAATTTTGTAAACTTCGTGAACATATGTTTAAAAAAACCAAAGCTTAATTAAATGTTTCAGCCATTCTACTTCCATTTACTTTGATTTTAACCATCTCCCACGATTCTACTAAATTTCATGCGCTTGGCTAATTTACATACAAATACACAAATTGAAATGAAGTTCGAATCATGTAAAAACAGTTCTTTTAGTTCGTCATTTGCTTGTGTTTGTGGCATGTCCATTGTGGCAACATGCGTTGAAATGTCCATTTGTGGCCTCCTCTGCAAAATGAAATGCACCACAATGCATGCAAGTGCTTTAAGAGGACCTATATTGTGAGAAACAACAATCAACTAATTTTCCAGCGATTTTCTAAAACGGCTTCTGGATTTCTTTCACAATTAGGCCCTACATGACGTTCTCTTTTGCATTTCTTAAGTCTGTTGAATTCCTGGACACTCTTCCACGTCTTGCAGGTCTTCCCCTACCCTGTCTAGTTACTTCACTCATTATAAAAACGGAAAACAAAAAAATTAAACACAATCCTTTTTGAAACATTATTTACCAACATTGTCTTTCGGAATAAATTGCAAATAAATAAGTAACAGCTGATAGAATGCAGACGTTTTTCAGTCCCCATGCATTTCTTATGGTGGATATTTTACGTTATATCTCGTTTTCTGGTAGCTTTATGGGAATTCTGCTATTTTTCCCGAGTCCCTGGGGTCAATACCTTTAATTTAAGACCCCTCCCACTTTTCTGCGACTTACCAGACGTCCACAATTTTCTGGTAAAAATTAGGTCTTACAGAATTATATATATAGATAGATATTTAATTTCCACAAAATCAGTTAATGTAACCAATGCGTTTCGTTGAATTGAAAAACAAAGAACACAATTAAATTAAACAGCTGATGTAAACAATATTATGTTCTTCGTAAGGATAACATGGGAACTTAAAATGCCACTGTGGCAGAGGCCAAGGGACTTTTTCAAAAATTGTAGGCCAGTTTGCAAATCTACGCAACACGTTCTTTCCAATGAGACGTCAGTGGATAAAATCGGTTAAGAAATGGTGGAGGATTCAACCGACAAACTTCGTGTTCGCGTATTAATTATATAGATTTCATATGTGCATGAAATGTTGGTGTGAAACCAACTTGTATAACTTTAAGCTAAATGGTTTAAGTTACCTGGCTTCGTCAAGTGATCCTTCATCAGTATTACACTACTATAGTTTCGGACTTGAAAATAAGTCCATCTTCAGAAAACGTCAATAGGTCATCTAACCAAATTGGTTAGATGACCTATTGACGTTTTTGTTAACCTGAAGATGGTCCTCCAGAGGCTACCTCACCATGTATACCTTTGAAGTAGAGGCTATATTTATTCCCAAAAGGTATCAAACGCCAGCTCCTGATCAAATCTTTTCTATCACTTTAAAGTTTGTTTCGTGTTTTTAGTCTTCACGTACAGAGACTTAAATCTTTGTATTAAATTGTTAGCAATCATAAATCGTGGACAGAATCTTCCACAAAAGATAAATACAATATAGTTTAACACCCTAGAACTCCTTAAAAAAATATGTTTTGTTAAGGCTTCGTCATAATGTTAAAAATACTCAATACAACAAATTCATTAATTTTACATATGTAAACGTTGATAGTTGTGTGCGTATACATCTAGTCCTCTATATTTTCTATGTACACAAATGCTTCTGTATACACTTTTTTTGCAACTCACAGTAACTGAGAAATATTCTAAACTGGTGAACTGTTTTTATAAATTTTTGCCATTATTTCTCAACCCGTGCTTAAAAAATTAGTGACTCGTGGATAAATCCAGATACAGAATTTAATCTAAATCGGACCACAGGTTTTGTCTGTAGCTCTGTATCTGGATCATACAAGTGTGTATTATATAACCTGATATTAGTCAAAATATGTTTTATTCTATAACGTTTAATTTAATTAAACATAAAAGTCATGCTCCCTCCATTTTTAAAGTATTCAGTCCAAAAATGTAATAAATTTACTTGTGCATACATATTTATTTCGTTTTAATAAATAATTGAGGTGATTCAATACACTTATGTAGGCAGTCGCAGCAGTCGAATCCGGGCATAGCGCCTAAAGTTTCACGAACGCAAACCGCGCAACGAGTAGCTAAATGAGCCGTAGAGTAAGTGAGCCATCTAATATTTTGAAGAGGGTTCACTTACTCTACGGATCATAGTGCCAATGAACTGTAGAGTAAGTGAGCCATCTAATATTTTTCTGCAGGCTCGTATAGTATACGAGCCTATTCCTATAATTTATATTATTCATTATTTTGGCTCGTATACTATACGAGCCGATTCCTGAATTATCAAATAATTCGTAAGCTTGGCTCATAGTCACTATGATCTGTAGAGTAAGCGAACCTTCCTACTGTATTTTTAAATATAATACACGAGGCTCATAGGCACAATGATTCGTAGAGTAAGTGAACCCTCTTCATTTATTTTTTATTTTCGATAGGCTCGTATAGTATACGAGCCTGTAGTGCAAGTGAACCTTCAATATTATTTAAAAGGCTCGTATAGTCTATGATCTGTAGAGTAAGTGAGCTGTCCCCCTGTACTGTCACTGTCACTGTAAATTGTTACAATACAATACAATTATACAATACAGAGTACAGACTACAGAGTACAAAATTTCAAATTCTCATTTCCCCCAATTCCCATCTGAGACTAGGAATAGGAATAGAAGTTTCGCGAATCGAGAGAGCTGAATTTTTATTTCAGGATTAATTTTGCCAACAGTGTCATTTGGAGGCTTCTGATTGGCTGAAGAAACACCATTAAAGGAACGATACGGTTTGCCGCCATCGCATGGCCCCCACAAGGGTGGGGCTGGTGCAACTCTGGTCACAGCCCGTTTTTTTTTCCCTTTTTTGTTTTTTTTTCTTTTTTTCCCCATTGAAGATCACTTTACAGCAGATCATAAATTGAAGATAAAAATAATAAATGTATTTTACAAAAAACAAAGTTAAATAATTTAAAATGTATTAATTCTAGATTCTAGGCTACTTCTAGGACTGTTCGGCTTATTTTTAGAAAGCTTGGAAAAGACCCCTCTCTAAGACATATCACTGTAGCCAGAGGCTTGGACATACAGTGGATAGCACTCTTTAGAATGTTCACATTTATTCCATATATGTCAGGGCTGTTCGAGTATGAGAAATTCATAACAATAGACTCAATTTAACTTGGGGTTACGTGTCAATCAGTATAACTTAGTATTCTTTAATTGTGTAATATAAATACATTATTTGCAACTATTTTGCAACTCTCAACTTAGTTTGGAAAAGTCGAACCAAATAAACCCAAATAACTTTGTGTTAGTTTTTATCTGGATGTTTGATGCAACTTTGCCCCTATGAAACTAGGAAGGTTACTGGAAGTTTTTCCAAACAATATTATTCCCACACTCAGTTTTATATAGATTAAATATACTCCCTTGGTAAATTTGCCACCCTTATAGATCAGCTGATCTATAGACTAACACTAACAATTGAGTATGTTTTCTGGGACTGCGAAGAAAATTGATGTTCATTCCGTCCGATGCTTAGGGGCGCGTTTTTTGTTTACAATGTGTTTCTTAATATTTCTGTCGTTTCAATATTAGTTTAATGAAATACAATGGGTTGATTATAAACAACAGCTCGTCCTACAGTTTTATAACCAAAAAGCAAAGCCCATTCATAAAATTAACCCTAAAGTAAGAAACAAATTGTTGTTGACATTAGCGCTTGGTATCACCAACATGAACCGGACATAATAAACAAGTTTCAGATTTTACAATGGGTGAGGGGTCTACCACGGCCGCCTTTAACTCCAGGCCGCGGCCTTCGAACTGGCAACGACGCAAGTGGTGTTGTAACAGCTGATTTTTTAGGAAGCAACTAATGGTATTTGTGTATTTACGAAAGATTGATTACTGGACTATGACAATATTGACTCCGTTTAAAAATGTACAGATATAGATTTTCATTAATATTGTTTCAATCTTCAATTCTGTATGTTTTATTTTCAATATTTTAATAAATTTATGTTCATAAATTAAAAATTAAATCAATAAAGTGCGAATTAATACTTGTCTGCTATGTTATCTTATGGGACGTCTGTCACTGAACAACACCACTTGCGATGTTGCCAATTCTACCAGGCCACGGCCTGTAGTTAAAGGCGGCCGTGGGTCTACTCGTGTAACTATGGCTTCATGGTATCCATTAGTATTCCTGACCTTTTTTGTATTTAATTAAAAAGGATTATGTATGACTCATTTTGAATTGAATATGTAATAAAAATACTTCCTTTTCATTGCAATTTGTTTCTCCAAACCTTGAATTTATATTTTAATCCTATCAGTTATGCACTAAAATATATACATGTAAATACTTTATTCAAGCGTTGACCATTAAAAAAATTAATGTTGTAATTGTGTCAACAAAACCTTTACGTTCCTCTCAATAATCCTCTGTGTTATTTTGGTTTTCTTCTGCTAGGTTGTGAAACGGAAAAATGACGTTTTACCTGTCACAGTCACACTGTCATCACATAACGAAGGAACTTGTATTTTAATTTAATAAAATATTCAAATATATTTTTTAAATACTTGTAACTGGTATAACCATACATAATTTGCTGTTTATATTATCTAGACAAGCCTTGTGATGTCTCTAATCAGATGATAATGGCAAATAAGCTATTATGTGCAACCTACTACATTGCTATGGTGAAGGTAAGTATCTCATGACTTAGGGCCTTACAGTTTGTTTTACTTGTTACTATCTATTTGCCATTGCTTGCCTCGTATACTCATTTGGTTATTGTTTCATTATTTAAAAGGCTAATAAAAAAAAAACAATAGTTCGTTATTCTTAATGGAGGAAGGGTGTCAAGTTTAGGTTATGAATGTGAATGTGTTTTATTAGCTGGACAACCCTTATAGGCCTAAGCTTAACATATCAGTATCTTCTACACTTTTAAGGGCATATTTCTTAATATGCATATAGGTTATAGAGTGATAGTGCAACCAACCAATAAGGTAATCAATTTTGGTTTATAGTAAATGGGGCCTAGGCTTTAAGTTACATATATTATTTTTGGTAGGACTAAGTTAAAGTCATGCAGTCACACATACTCAGGCTCTCGCACTTCAATACTGGTGTTAGACCTAAAACAAGTGTTTATCGAAGTTAAGTCAATGCGATATCATGTAATTTTTAGATGTCTACTTACAGTATTTTTCACGCTGAATCCAAAAATGCAATACGTTTTTGTCGGAGAGATTCCTAAGTAGCCGTACAGTTAAATAATGAATATTAAGCTTCAGTTTTGTTGGGTTATTCACCTATTTGTGGTTTGGATGAGTCCAAGTTCTAATGGTGACTAACACTTAAAGGGGTTTTTTTTAACACAACAGAGGGCCAGGCTTACAAGTCACCATGGGATTGCATCGCAGCTAGAACAGCTCATTGTGCACCCTCGTTCACAGGTCCTCATTCTCTGTCAAATCCCAGGTCCTTGGTGAACCGTGAGAGCCTTTTGACTATGGTAACCTGTTCTTCCCTTTGATCTCCCATCAATAGGCCAAGGGATCTCATACGCAGACCTTGTAGGGCTGGGCACATAAATATACCTTCACAGCTTTCACAAGGTCTCTGGCTGGGGCAAGCCGTAGCGAGATTTCCCTGAAAGGACTCAGCTCCTGAACTTGCTTGACCAGCCAATCCTTTGTGACTGCGTCAGCACAGCCTCCACCTTTCTTCCTGGAGGCTTCATTAGAGTCAGCTTTGGGGGTACCACCCTTGCCCTGCTTTTTACCAGCATCCTAGTTCCCGGAGGAACTGGCTTTGCAGGGAGCAGAGTTAGGGTGCTTGGCAGCCCACACCAGCCTCCTCTCACTTCTGGATAGCACCTTTTCGCCTTTGGCTAAAGCATCCGCTATCCCCCATCTTTGCAACTCGCCCCTGGAAAGTCGTTTTTCGTTCCTTTCCGGTTTCTGCGAGCTTGTCGTCATCGTCAGATTTCAGTAGACCTTCCTCCTCCATTTGGGTGAGATTGTCTACATTGTTCTCACGAATGGTAGGTCGGGTGTTATGCGGATTCGTGACTGTATTAAGTGTTTTGAAGTGAGGTTAGATTAGGTAAGTTAAAGGTTAGGTTATAATGAACCGACTCATTAATTTATGCAACTTCCAGACTGTTTTTGCACAATTGAAATAATGGGTGAAACACAATGAAATAACAGTATCAAGCAGAGCTTGCACATTTTTGATATCGTTATTTCATTATGTTTCACTCACTATTTAATTGTGCAAAAACAGTCTGGAAGCTGCATAAATTAATGAGTCGGTTCATTATAACCTATCCTTTACCTTCCTAATCTAACCTCACTTCAAAACACTTAATACAGTCACAAATCCACATAAAACCCGACCTACCTTCCTCACATGCCTAAATAAGAACTGATTATTTGGTTTCAAAACAAATTGATTTAATTCCGCATTAAGTCGAGTATAAACAGCTGTTTTCTCTCCTCCTCACTCAGTCCACATACGGACCCGTCCAGACCACGCCATATTACCATCAGTATAGCTCAATGAACCTTAGATTTGTAATTTCAACCTTCGTTTTACGGCCACTTATGAATCTCTCCGACAAAAACTGATTGCATTTTTGGATTCAGCGGGACAGGATATCGCATTGTAGATACATTAAATATTTGAAGAAGTTAATTTGTGTCTTCTATCATAAAGTTAATGTAGAAGGGTTTTATGATAATGGATCTGCGGTAGCCTAAAGGCTTTAAGTTTTAATTAGGTACTTTATAAGTAAGTAACTTGTTGTTATGTGAAATGAAATATAATGAAATTAAATGGAAATGCTTCTTTATTGAGGCGAACTTAGGACCACATGGTCCTTTCTTACAGTTAACCTCTAAAAAACTAATAATAACAACAAAATAATAACAAAAAATACAATAAAGTTTGTAACATAGCTAGTAATAAAATAGCATAAATCTATTCATCTTCCCTAACATACAGTCACACACACATACACCTTCTGCTGCATCTAGGCCTAACGCACGCCATCCCGCCAAGCCACGGCCATCCGGTCAAGGTAATATTCTTTCAGCGCCACCATCAGTTGGGATCGGTTTTCTATAGATTTGATGGGCAGAGGTATGGAGTTCCATAGACGACAGGCTGTTACCAAAAATGATTTATTATAAACAGTAGTTCTGTGATGAGGAATGCAAAGCGTGGACGAGCCAGAGCGGGTATCCCTTGCGCCTCTTCCATTCAAAAATTTAAAATTCTTTGCAAGATAATTTGGAATTCCAAGATTGATGACTGAATGAGTATTGGAAAGTATTCATATTTTTCTGACGTCCTCTAATTTCAAAATTGATTCATTAATGTAATAGGGTGTGACATGGTCATCACGCCTAAGATTGAACAAGAATCGAACACAATAATTTTGTACACGTTGTAATTTTGTTGCTAAAGCCACAGTCATATCATTAATCACAGTGTTGCAGTAGTTGAAGTGTGGAAGTTGTGGTATGTCCTGTCATCATGATAAGAATGGCAATAAGTTTATCATCTAAATTTTTATATTCTCTGAATCAAAACAATTAGCCTACATTTAAATTGTTTAGCTTCTCTCAACCCAACTACGAAGTAGACACCAAAGATAATTTTAACCAATTTATTATACTGGTACTTAATCGTGGTGTGTTAGCCTATTTGTTATTTTTTTTACTTAATAATCAAATGATATTATAAAGGAAGGGAGCCAACAATTGCTCGACAAATTATTTTGCCGTCGGGCCACATGACTGCCTTTTAAATTAAATACTTAAGTTAGATCATACGAAAACCCACTTTGTTGACAAGCTATTTTCTCACCAGTTGCATTGCTTGTCTCAAATAATTAAATAAATAAATTTTAATATCCACTTGCTTTTAAAGATAGTTTGGTTTAAGACAACTTGTTCTACAAAGAGAAATGATGGTGGGGATGAGTGGAGCAGCCATTGAGGCTGCTGGGACGGATGTACCAACTGCCTTCATAACGTTAGGAGATTTTTGTACTACAGACATACCCGGTACATACAAGCTCCTCTTCCCTGTAGTCTTGAAGACCAGGGAATTTTCAATTCTTGAGGTTGTGCTCAAAATTGTTGAGTGCAATTGAACCACTAGATTTTTATTTGTGAAAGTGCTGTGGAGACCTGTTGAGTGCTTATTCCGTAATGGCCCCTATTTATTGAATTCTTATGATGAGCAACTTGTTTTTCATTTGTAAGCCTGAGTTTCATACGGAGACATGGATGGCAATCAATTACAAATTAGATTTTTTTAAGCTCGTAATATCTGCACAGTGAATTTAGATTGGACAACCCTTTTTTGGTTAAACATAGGCCTAATAAATTATATAGGCCTACTTTTAATTTCCTTAAATATCAATTTGCATTAGGTTACTTTCTGTTACTTCTTCCAGGTTCCATTATATGGGAATAAGTTATTTGTTTTTGTAATTCATATTTTGTAAACCAAGAATCTTGTTCTGATTCATGGTGAATAGCCTAGGCCTACATGTTTTACAAGACATGTTTTTCAGGTCTCGTCATCTTTAACCTCATTTAATCGTAATTTATAGTAAATGGGGCTTTACATCTATTATTATTGGTAGGACTAAAGTCATGCAGTCACACATACTCAGGCTCTCACACTTTAATAGGCCTACAGGTGTTAGACCTAAAAACATGTGTTCATTGAAGTTAATTTGTGTCTTCTATCATAAAATGCAATGTTTTGTAAATTTCTTATATAGCTCTATTACTAAGGTGCTATAGTCGTCTTTGCAATAGTATTTTTATGACAGTAGCCTACTCGTATTGTGATGCATAGTAAATTAACCTTGTTAAAATGTTTCTTCATCCATAGTTAGCATTTCATAAAATTTCAGATAGTATTTTGGTTTGAAATATGGCTGGATTTTCGAATGAATATTTGTAATGCAGCACTTTTTTTGCGATATATGATAGATTTTACGTCTTTAATCTAAAACAAACTATAGTTTACGATACGTCCCGTAACGTCTACAACTCATACAAAGTCAATATTTTCAGCTTCTCTAAACCTTATTTAACAACATATTTTGGTTTTTGGTTTTCAGTACTGGCTTCTAACCGTTAGCAATAAGATTGATTGAACCATCATCCCACTCAAATGATTTCCCCCAATGGCTCCATCTACTTTTGTTGCCAATGTGGAGCAAGTCGCTTTATGGCGAACTATCTTTACGGGCCAGGGGATTCTTGTGTTTATTTATTTAATTTTACATGACGACCAACAAAACTGACAAGAAAATGACTTGTCGGCTAAGTGGTTTGTTTATTTTTAATTTAAAAAGAAAGTAATGTAAACTGATGAAAAACAATTAGTTGAGAAAGTAGTATGCTCCCTACAGGGGATTGTGACAAGTAAATCGTTGTTAAAGATTCCTTGTTTTGTGTACGCCTATCACCATTTTTTATTTACATGGAAAATTAACAAATACTACCTGATATACGGTAACAAATATGCTGCCTATTATATGCAGGCCTATTGTTTTGTTTATTACCTTATAGCTTAAATACTAATCTATTGTATGTTACAGGTATGAGAAGTCTTACATCCTCCTGTTTCTGCTGATGGAAGGTTATAATGGAATCACCTTCTACCAGTATGTAATACCTTTTTATGCTTATAATATAGGCTAGATGGAATTTATAAGGTCAAGTGGAGTAAGTGTAGGCTACGCCCGGGGCAAGTGGACTTCCAGCTAATAATACATTTGTTTATTAACCAAAAAATATGAAAACTTGGCCAAAGATATTTCAAACTATACTCTTTTAAATTATAATCACTAAAAAATTCTCTTGCTATGATTTCTATGAGTTTAGACGTGCTTAACCCATTGGCCTACATCGAGGGTCGCGAACCACCATAGCAAGGTCACTAATAATACAAAGACGAGTAGCGACACCGCACCAAGTAGTTCTCCGTTTCAATGCTAGGTAGTAGCATTAATCAGGCAAACTGTTTTACCACAACCTGTTTTTAGTTGAAATGATTAGTATTTCACTTTTCGGGTTGGTAGGCCTATTTTTAGTGCAAGTAAATATTGATTTCTTGGCAACCTATTGTTCTCAGCTTTCTACTGTGTTTGTTTACGGAATGGCGGCTCGCGATTGTTTACGTTCCAGTCAAATATATCGTTTTATTGATGATGAGAGTTATTTGTTGAGTAAAATTGATAGTGAAACAAATGAAGATGACAATGAAGGAATGTTTGTGAGTGAAAATGAAAGTGAGAAGGAGATTGAGTCGGAATCTGATGAAGACGAAAAGGCTATCAACGAACCTGACGATCGACCTCCACCGGTGGATTTGGTTCTTGAAACCATTAAAAATGTTGTTCGCAGAGTTGGCGATATACCAATGGACTCTGTTGATGAAATTATTGAAAAGGTGGTAAGTGGGGAAATTGGTTTTAAAGGAGCCTATGGTTTGGGAAGATGTTCCCAATGAGCCTACAAATATTGTAGCCTACATATCATTGAAAACTATATACAATTTACTAACTTTTTTGTCCCTTGCAATTTTTTTGATAAGTTAGGCTAATGGTTTTTGTGAAATTTGGCATCAAATATTTTAAATGGCTGCCATTTTGAAATGGTTAATGATATTTTTGTATAATTTTAGACAAAGATAAGTCCTAATAAGATAATCATTTTTGAAAAATCTCAACGCTGTATCTCAAACCGTTTAGGAGCTATTAATGTTTTTCTAAAGAACACATAAATACAGACAGTCGGAAAACTAGGCACCACAGACCCATGTTCCTATGTGAAATGTGTTTGTCTTGACCTAAGCAATAACGCTATATACAGATGTCCAGAGAGTTACGGGACACCCTGTATAATAAAAATAAAATAAAAAGATAAATTGATGGTTTAGTCACTAAATAATTAATTATAATTAAATTTCAATAAAAATTATCTTTTTTGGTATTTTGATATTTGGTTGACATATTCCCATGGTTTGAAAGAATTATGATGCAAAGTAAGAGAGATATGAGGGTTAATGCAAAAGCTTGCAAAAGCCTACAAATTAAAAGGATTTCCTAAGGTTCAACAGGGCCTATAATGAGCGTAGGCCAGTGGGTTAAGAACCTCTTACGTTCCTGCTCAAAACAGAAGTGCCGCTCGTTAATTTTTTTTAATTTACTAAAATTTGAAATACGAGGATAACTAAATGAAATGTGGTGATCTTACTTATTTTTTTAGGGGGAATTCAAAAATAACATTGTTATAGCCCTAAAAGTCAATTTTGGGGAGTTAAGGGGGGGAGAGGGCGTACACTTACCCTGTGTGCAAGCACATTAGGGGTAACTGTACTTTTTCCCATGGGGGAAAGTATACGCCAATAACTGATAAATTATCTTAGAATAAAGAAAACTTTGTTATCTCTTGCTTGAATGACAAGAAAAAACTTGCACTTTGTAAATTTAGTTTTTTTAAGGTTTAATATAGGAACATTCAGGGTCTAGGTCAATTACAATTAAAAATATTAAGGTTTTAAGTTACTTCACCGAGCGGAGGTTTGAAAAAACTCTTAACTACTGTATAGTTTAAGATATTTTAACTATTAAGAAACCAAAATAAAGCTCATTTTCTGCTCTTTGAGACTTAGGTATTGTTAATTCAATGAAGTAGTGGAATCATAAGGTTTTTATTTTCTTTCCAATTTTGAATTAAGCTGGGGTTTTTGTTTTCCCTTGCGGAGGTTCACAAAAAAGTGTATAACTCCTGAACCGTTTGAGATATTTTGATAAATAAAAAATCAAAAGAATTAAAATTTTTCCCCCTACAATCCACTTGCCCCAACATCAAGTAATATGCAGTGGAAAGCTACAATAAGGGGGGGGGGGGGTTACACTTACCCCAGATCAAGAAGTGTACACCCCAAACATCATTTTATGAAAAAAATTCTCAAAAATACAAAATTAATATTTTTGACAAAATAAAAAACCACACATACAAAACATTCCAAAGAATAAGCTCGGCAAATTTGATTTGTATAGCACCTACATGTGTTTTTTAATCTATGGTCAAAGTTGTACTAGGCCTATGTGATTTGTGGCGTATACTTACCCCACTTGACCTTAACCAAGTTTTGAATGATTCCACCAACAACATAACATGTGACCTGTTTCAGATAGGCTCACTGGTATGGGTATGGCTATATGTAAAATATTAAGCCTTTATTTCATTGATAGTATCCATACTGCTACAATTCTGCATGGTTAATGAAGATAATTCAATTTGGTTACCTAACTATACTAAAACTGGCCTGGTGAGGTTATCGTGTTCCTTCACTAACATTCAAAGGCGACTAAAATCACAATATGCCTTTACAAAACACAAAACCATTCCACCCTGAGACATATAGAATAGTTTCCATAGTGATTAAGTTGTATTTTTCTAACAGATTTAGAAAGCATGAAAATTAAATTTAGCCGTCCAACAACAAATTTCTAAGTAAACATTTCACACTTCGTAATTATTATATATTTTATGGTTGTTAAAAATATGTTATCAAGCTTTAGAGGAAAAATAGATATAGAGGTCCTATAATGTTTATCTGAACTGTAGTGTAAGCCTCTGAATTCTTAAGCTTCCAGTTTGCTATAAAATCATGTTTTACACTGAAAGCTTACCATGGCTCTAAGCTCTAACGATTAAAGGGCAAACTCCTGTTGGTTTTATGCTAAATAAAAATACATATTATTTCCATTTTTTTATGTTCCTGTGTAAGAATGTCAAAACTTTACTGCATTAAAAATACCATAATACTCTATTAATATTTTAACCCTTATTATGAAATTTGCTGTAAAAAAGATACAATTTTTCACTCCTTTGACCTAATCACTTTGCCAGTGCTAAGTACTAACTCTGCTGAAGGTTACTACGTTACTAATTAAATTAAGTATATTGATTTAAACCCTGGTCAAAATTTTCATAATAGTAAAAGGTGTAAATATTTACCATCCGCTACATATTTTTGTGACGCCCTGTATAGTAAGTTAAACTAACTCAAATAACTATGTAATTTGCCACACTCATGTTATGGTCCAAAGACATCCTATACTTAGGATACTTAAAGTATTAAATTACTTTTTAGCCAAAGTCAAACACATCACACAATTGACTTTTTCGACAATAGTTTTCCTAATTTATATTGTACTATATCTTATTAACTAACATTTTTGTTTACCAGGCCTTTCGAGTTTTGAGGTAAGGATTTTTATTTTCAAAGCTGTTCTGCACCCCATTCGCTGTTTGTAATAAAATATAAATGTGCCCGAACTTACTAGGCTTATTATGGACATTGTTAATCCCAACCTAGATGGTTGTATAATCAAGGAGAATTATATTTCCATTAATTACATTTAATGTTTATTGGCAATGATAATACAGTACTTAGACATCTTATTTTGCAAACGGTCCCTCATGTTTAATCACTATATAATATTAAAAAAAAACTCGCTGTTTTGTTTCTAGTCTGCTTAGTGTTTTTTTTCATCTCAAAACCAATATTTGACTTGGTCATCAATGTCAGAATTACAATGTATACTAGGCCTATATGAGTTAAAGTAATTGTTGACATATAATAATCTTAACATTTTATAAAATTCAAATAAATATAAACTCTATGATGCTTGAGTTTCCCAGTAGAGCTTAAATGCTTAGTCACAATGTAAAGTTGTTTGCATGCTTTCATCATTGCTCAGACCAAACCACTAATAGGGTAGTTTTGTAACGTATGCTTGATCTCTGGCTTTCAACTGAAGTAATTTATAATCTATGATCCGCCTCGGTAATTGGGAAAGATAAATTATATTTTAGCATTGTGTTTAAACGTTTTAATGTCTTAAACACAATAATTATAGTATCCTGCAAATTTTCTCAATGAGTGAGATAAGTAAAAAAATAAACTATAAGGATGAAAATTCATAGAAACGAACCAACATCTATTCCTTTATTGTTTAAAATGATTAAAACTGTCAAAATAATGTATTATCTACTCTGTACTGTTGTTTTATCGGAATACAAACTCACGTTTTCTCTCCAATCAGTAAGAAAACTTAAAAATCCTTCAGTTGGTGAATTTTGACTGATCACGATAAAGAGTGACATTTGCAATAGAGCAGCCTCAGTGGTTTACCCCAATGAAAGGAACTAGGGGGAACTTGGGTCCATCATCATCATATTCATCATCATCATCATCAGCAGCAGCCAGGGCTAGAGATATACAAGGGCTAGGCCACGCGAGCTCAGAAAGTGATGCCAGGTGGCTCCCCACCACTCCGCCGCTGTGATGTCACGGCGATACCTCGGGCTCCCGGCACCGTATATCTTTGCCTGTGTGAGCGCTGGTATTACCGCACATTTAGCGTTTATTAAGCTCTATGTTGGACATTTTTTATTAGGTATTAATTTAGGCTATTTTATAAAAGTAATTGATTTTCAAATAGGATTACGTATAACACCAATTTTAATAAGTAAAAAATTAACTTTATTAGATATTTAAGGATGGGAGTGGAATGTAAAGCGATGGCTAAGATTACTGTAGTTATTGATCCAATGCATTAAAGTTACTGTGTAACATCTGTGTTCG